AACAAGTTTTGATTTTTTTTAAAAAACAATATGTTAGTTGCTATAGATTTGAAAATCTAGTAATGAAATTTTCTTGCTCTGCAATGCTGATACCCTTAAAATCTTTATGTAAGCACTAGTTTATAACTTTTCATAATTTTGTGTATTTTCTGGTACGTTTGGTTTTGCTCTTTGCAAAAGTAGCTCAATCAAAATAAACTAAGCTTTATTTTCCTGTGATGCCTTCTCGTTTAGCAGAAACATACATATTTACTCAATTAAAATCAGCTGTAGTTTGGCCTTCTATCAAGGCTAATTAATTCATGCATATCTTAACGAGAGGGCACGAGAAAAGTTTATCCTATGCCTACTCCTCAGACAATCTTTTTTAATTTAGCCAAAGAAGCGTTGGAAGCATAACTGAAAATTACTAACCCTTGACCAAACAGAGAGAAGAATAAGGTAAAGCTTCAGGATTCCATATGCCTCCTCCAGAGGCTTGTAATTTTTAATGTAACATTATTAAATGAGTGACTCATGGGTAATTGTACAAACTACATTATCTGAATTGAATTTAAGCTTAATTTAAATGAAAATCATATTAAATCATATTTAGTTTTTGTCACATGCTAGCTCTTAGACCACTCCTCAGAGGTGAGACGTGGCTCTCCCTCCCACCTCCACAAAGTTGTGCAACCTTGCAGTCATGGATTAAATCACATCAAGAATAGAATAGAATAATAACAAATAATATTGTCACTTTGAATGTACACTAATCAGCATACATTAAAATGAAATGCAGAGGGAAAGAATGGATTGAGAAATTCAATCTTGAGATTGTGCTAAATAGTTCCCAGCATTCCATCAATCTGGCACATTCTACTAAATCTGAAATACTACTACTACGATGACAACTACTACTACTACTACTACTACTACTACTACTACTACTAATAATAATAATAATAATAATAATGGGGGTTTAAAAAACTCCAATCTTATTATCTGACTAGTAAATGCATAAAGTGTTTTATTGATAGTATAGAGTTTATGATGCATGGACTGAAAATCTATGGAGAAATTTTGTTTCTCTGTTGGTCCTGGGTTGTAATGAACCAAATAGAGGCAGAGTCTACTGAGTTCTTGGTGCTCCCTGAACTTGCTTGTTTGCTTGCAGATGTTTCATTATCTGATTATGTAACATCCTCAGTGTTAGTGAGTGTGGGGTTTGTTAATAATAATAATAATAATAATAATAAAGTTGGAAGGGACCTTGGAGGTCATCGAGTCCAACCCCCTGCTCAGGCAGGAAACCCTATACCATTTCAGACAAATGACTGTCCAGTCTCTTCTTAAAAACTTCCAGTGTTGGAACATTCACCGCTTCTGGAGGCAGTTTGTTCCACTGGTTAATTGTTCTAACTGGCAGGAAGTTTCTCCTTAGTTCTAGGTTGCTTCTCTCCTTGATTAGTTTCCACCTGTTGCTTCTTGTCCTGCCCTCAGGCACTTTGGAGAATAGCTTGACTCCCTCTTCTTTGTGGCAGCCCCTGAATATTGGAGCACTGCTATCATGTCCCCCCTCGTCCTTCTCTTCGTTAAACTAGACATACCCAATTCCAGCAGCCGTTCCTTATATGCTTTAGCCTCCAGTCCCCTAATCATCTTTGTTGCTCTTCTCTGTACTCTTTCTAGAGTCTCAACATCTTTTTTACATCGTGTTGACCAAAACTGGATACAGTATTCCAACTGTGGCCTTACCAAGGCACTGTAAAGTGGTATTAATACTTCATGTGATCTTGATTCTATTAATGCAGCCTAGCATTGTGTTGGCTTTTTTTGGCAGCTACAGCACACTGTGGCTCATATTTAAGTGATTGTCCACCAGGACTCCAAGATCCCTCTCACAGTTACTACTATTGAGCAAGTACCCCCTATACTATACCTGTAATTTGGTTTTTCTTGTCTAAATGTAGAACCTTACTTTTTTCACCATTGAATTTCATTTTGTTAGATAGCGCCCAGTGTTCAAGTCTGTTCAGATCCTCCTGTATCCTAAGCCTGTCTTCTGGAGTGTTGGCTATTCCTGCAGCTTGGTGTTGTCTGCAAATCTATCACCTCGTCCAAATCGTTGATGAAGATGTTGAAGAGCACTGGACCCAGAACAGAGCCCTGGGGCACTCCACTACACACTTCCCTCCATGTAGATCAGTGGTTCTCAACCTTTTTAATGCCACAACCCCCAACCGGTCATAAGTCGAGGACTAAACCAGTCATAAGTCAAGGACTAAACCGGTTATAAGTCGAGGACTTTCCCTGCCCGGGAGCGCCACGCATGCGTGGTGCCACCCCCTGCGCCGGCCGAGGCGTAGCTGGCAAGCGGCAGAGACGGAGCAGGCCCACCACCGGCTGGGCCACTAGGTGGCCCAGCCCAAGGGAGGTAAGGCACCCGCCGGAAAAGGGGAAAAAATGGCAGACAGCCTTGCTTGGCGACCTCCGTGAAATGGTCGATCGACCCCAAATGGAGTCGCGACCCATAGGTTGAGAACCGCTGATGTAGATGCTGTTCCATTGAGGACCACACGCTGAGTATGGCCGGTCAGCCAGCTACGAATCCATCTGGTGGTGATGCTGTCTAACACACATTTTTCTATCTTATCAAGTAGTAGGGTATTCTCTGTTTATATATTGTAGCTTGCCCAGCCAATGTTGGCGGAGTTGTGGTTTTCTCCTTGGAAGTTCCTTGAATGGGATATTTTCTGCTGGAAACAATACCAATACCAAAACAATACCATTAAACCCTGAAAACAATATCCTAGCAGAAAACAATATGCTAATCAAGGGACCATCAAGGAGAAAATAACCTCTGGCAGAACAACCTCTCTTTGTAGTTTCTTCTGACTTATTGTAAGTCTTTAGTTATAAATTCTGCTGGTGCTTGTTACACCAACACAGACATACTTTTCAATAGTTATTATGCTTAAAGAGCGCATACTTTGTGATGAATAAATGATGAGCATGGCAGTGCGCACTGGATAGTCAGTGTTTTATATTAAAAATAAAAAGCCTAAATAATGCATTGCTTTTTTTGGCTCCAAACTGCTCTTTGTTCAGGCCAAATATTGACTAGTCCTCGACTTATGGCCACATTTGAGTCCAACATTTTTGTTGTTAAGACATTTGTTCAGTAAGTTTTGCCCCATTTTATGACCTTTCTTGCCACGGTTGTTAAGTGAATTGCTGCAGTTGATAAATTAGTAACCTGGTTGCTAAGTGAATCTAGCTTCCCCCTTGACTTTGCTTGTCAGAGAGTTGCAAAAGGTGATCACGTGACCTTGGGACATAGCAACAGTCATCAATATGAACCAGTTGCCAAGCATCTGGCATTTTAGTCATGGGGATACTGCAAAGGTCGTACCTGTAAAACACGGTCAGAAGCCACTTTTTTCAGTGCTGTTGTAACTTTGAACAATCACTTTGAACTGTTATAAGTCGAGGACTCCCTGTACGTCTCCAACCTTTTGTATCCCATCCCATCCACAAACAATTGTGAAGGCAAACAGTGAGGGTTTCACTGGAGACAAACTAATTTCAGTCAATAGAAATAAACCTTCAAACCTCTGGGTACATTTCAGCTAGTTTGTTCCAGTTTAGGCCTCCACTGGCTTATTGAGAGATAGTGGAGCTTTTTCCTTCTTCATTCCATTAAAGTAGAGTGTCTCAATAAATCAGATATCCTCAGCACTTGAAGCCTTTCATATTGATCATATTGACTGAACATTATGTCAAGATTTTCTTTTATTTGAAACAAAAAAAGTTATTTCTCAATTCCTTTCCTGGAAGAAGAAGGGAGGCAGGCAGACAGGGAGGGAGGGAGGGAGGGAGGGAAGAAGGAAGGAAGGAAGGAAGGAAGGAAGGAAGGAAGGAAGGAAGGAAGAAAGGAGAGAGGTAGGAAATAAGAGTTACTGCAGAAATGTACAGTAACTTTCAATTCTCGGTTCAGAAATGTGCCAGGGCTACATGCCAAAAAGACGGAGAGGGCCAGGTCAAAATATAATTAAATCAATCAGCTGGTCTCTTATGCTTCACTATGTTCCCCTTTGTTTACATTAGAATTTACAGTTCTGTGGCAACCTTGGGGACGCTTCAGAAACCAGGTCCAAGGCTTTTGACAAGTTACTGCATTTACTTGGAACAGCAGATTTTCTACTGGTTAAGAATGTTTTTCAAAAAGATTGTTATTTTCTGAATCAGTCACTACTCACAAGCAAGAAGCAGTTCCTTCCTCTTTAGTATTTTGTTTGTTTTGACCCTGGATCCTGTCCAGCATACAATGATAATAGCATTTTCCAATGCCGGCCACCAGAGTCTGGGAACTATTTCATTGTAATTCTGAATTCCATTTAAAGAGCAAACCAGGCTTTATATCTATGTTTCTTAGCAAACTCTGATGTCATTTTTTTTAAGTAGAAGGCAGTTACTATACGGCTTGGATTAAGGGTAAAATTCTGTTTAAAGATAAAATAGAATAAACTGCCTAGCAGCATATGATCTATTTGTTAAGTGAATGTATTTAAAAAATGAGTCCCAAAACCTTGAAAGTATTCTCCCAAAAAATTCCCAATTCAAAGGTGAAATATATCATTTCTGGGAGTTTGTCAGAATTCAAACAGGCTTGCTCTGATGGAAGGTTTTTTTTAACCTGCTGACACTCAGAGTCTATGCTGACCAGACACTTCCAAACTCATTCTTCTGTTGCCCTCTCCTCTTCCAGAAGTTTCAATTTGCTTTGAGAAGGAAATATTCTAAGAAAGGAACAAGTCAACGTTTACCCTTCCCTTCTTCCCTCCCCTTCCCAAGAACACAACAGCAGGATGGGGATGACCATAATGATGATGGGGATAATTCTGTTCCTGTGGGTATGCTTATCTCATTTCTACCAGTAGAGGGAGCCAGCTTCACAGTGAAATCTGAGTTGCTGAAGTTGGTGAACAACACAATGAATCACATAAAGAGAAAGTGAATGTGCCTTGCTGTGGAGTCCAGAACGGGAAGGAGGGAGAGAGGAAAGAAAAGAACCAGAAATACATCGCAGCAAAAAGATGAAGTGAGTCTTGCTCTTTCAGCTGGGAGTTTGTGCCATCAACACTCTGGAATGGCCCACCCTCATAAACAACTTCACTATTTGGTAAGTTCATGCCTCATCCCTCAGCGTCAACCCGAGTTATGCATGCTCTTTGTTTATGGCAGCTGGATTGGGTTCATAAGCAGGCAGGTTCTTTGGCTTGACTGTGTGTTAGCATTAGAGGGTTCTGATTCCCCCCCCCTAGTTTTTCTTTTCATAATCTAATCTTTTCATGATCTAAAAGAATGAAAATGCATATGTTCTGGAGGATGAGCATATTTCAGGCATCCTGAAGTATTTATACACATATGTGGCCAAGCACAATTGTACCTGGAGTCTGCACTAAAAAGCTTTGAAAATTGGATGCCTGATACAACCGGCTGGAATATATTTGTCCATTTATTTATGACTGGAGGATAAATCTATATACCTTGACTGTTTAGAAAGATGAGCAGGATCTTGCATGCCACTACGTAACCTCAGTGGCAGTGTGGGGAGTTAAAATTAAGATGGCATATTCAAATTTTGAATATTGGGGTATTTAATTTTCCGTCGTTCCTTCACACATAGGGAGAACAGTATCTTTGTCCTGTGCTATAGAAGAAGAAGAAGAGAGAAAGACAGCTTCCTGCAAGAGAAGATGCTTGATTTTAAGGTCAGGATATCTAAGTGCATTTTGCTTTATAGCGTTATTCATGCCTGGATGTCCTTCCTCTGAGATTTAGGAAAGAGACCTCAAGCAAACAAATCTTTCCATGCTGGGTTATGTTGTTCTCTATCACTCCAGGCAAAATGAAGCCAATACTTTCAGGACTGTGGGCTTGGCGAGCTGAAGAGAAAACTTGTCAGATCATAGATGTATGTTTAAGGTTAGAGCACAGAAGAATCTGAGGCAGCTAACTCAGATTGAAGGAAAAGGAACCATCACACCTAATGTCTGAGAAGCAATGAATGGGCTGTAGCTGAAACATCCAGGTCTAAAGGGACCTGAACTCTGGATTGTCCTTACTCTTTTCCTTCATTCTTCCAATGAAAACTAAAAGACTATCAACGCTTTTCAAGACCTTTGCCAGAAAACTGGAAATATCATGTCTTTGCTTTGGATGATTTCATCCTGATGGGGCATTTCAACAGGATGTACAAAGCGTGACTTGGGTGATGAACATCCAGACGGGACTGCTTTGATGCACAGAGTTTGCACACGAATCATAAAGGCTGGCTGGAATTGAAGGAGCTTGTCCATGTCCTGAGAAGGCTAAATCCGAAGAGTCCTCAAAGTTTAGTCTGGTAGCTTTTGCTAAAAAATCAATGCCTGCCTAGCATTCTTCCACCAGGATATTATTCCCAAAGCAATGCATTTGCTTGCTGTGATTGTAACCCATTGTCTTGCTATGCAATTCAAATCCTAAATATAAAATTGAAAGAAATATATATATATATATATATATATATATATATATATATATATATATATATATATATATATATATATATATATATAAATATATAAATATATAAATATATAAATATATTTATATTTCCCTGGATTAGACACGAGCATCAGAAGTCCTAAAGGTAGGATGGAGAATTTCTTCTTTATGCAAAACTATGATCCTTCTATAAACCCTTTGAATGTTTTAAAATGTAAATTTATTTTCTTTGCCTCTAGGACGATGAATCTTTATTAAACTATTGGGAGCAATGAAAGGAACTGAGTCCCGTGGCTACATATAAAGGCAGAACTGATGTTTTAATTTCAGAGCAGAAAGGTATGAAGGCTGAAGTGGGTTTAAGATGTCCATCAATTAGAGGGAGGAGAAATTGTATCAGCAACTAAAACACTTGAAGAGTTACACTTCATTAGAGCAGAAGGGCTAGTTAAAAAAATCATTAATCTACTTAACTGAGAAAAAAGGTGCAAGCTGAAAAATTATGCTCTAGACAGAATTTTCTGAGGATTTTCCCCTGCTAAGAATATTCTGTTCCTGTTAAGAATATTCTATTATTGGCTAATATTTAAAAGAAGATTGTTTTTTTAAAAAAGGCAAAGACGGAGGGTAGGTAGGTAGGGAGGATAAGCCCTGATGTGATCAACAAGTTCAGATACTTGTGATGGATTATTTGTGTGTTTTTGTTTTTTAAAAGTTTTTGTTTTTTGAGAGAGAAAGCGACCAGAGACTTGAGCCTGAATCTTAGGGTGCCTGCCTGGTTTTGAGCAATTAAATTGTAAGCGCTGTAGATACATGAAGAGCTGAAGCCATTACTAGGCCTGTGACATGATTTTGCCTGAGAAGGAAAGATGATTTGGAACAACACCACTATGGACGGGGAAGGGTTGCTTGTGAAAAGAGATTCCTGCTTCCGAATCCTCACCGGCTGCTTCCTCTCCTTGCTGATCCTTTCCACACTCCTAGGCAACACCTTGGTCTGCGCAGCTGTCATTAGGTTTCGCCACCTGAGGTCCAAGGTGACCAACTTCTTTGTGATCTCTTTGGCAGTCTCAGACCTTTTAGTTGCTGTGTTGGTCATGCCCTGGAAAGCTGTGGCTGAGATAGCTGGATTCTGGCCTTTTGGATCATTCTGTAACATCTGGGTGGCATTTGACATCATGTGTTCCACAGCTTCCATCTTAAATTTGTGTGTGATTAGCGTGGACAGATATTGGGCCATCTCCAGCCCATTTAGGTATGAGAGGAAAATGACCCCCAGGGCAGCCTTTGTCATGATCAGTGTGGCATGGACCTTATCTGTGTTGATTTCCTTCATCCCCGTACAACTGAACTGGCACAAAGCCACAAGTTTTTTAGACTTAAATGCCAGTTTCCAAGGTGTGGCTATGGACAACTGTGATTCCAGTTTAAACAGGATGTATGCCATCTCTTCCTCTCTTATTAGTTTTTACATCCCAGTGGCCATCATGATAGTCACCTATACAAGGATATATAGGATTGCTCAAAAGCAAATACGGCGTATCTCAGCCTTGGAACGAGCAGCTGTGCATGCTAAGAACTGTCAAACCCCTGCTGGCAACAGGAACAGTATGGATGGCCAGCAGCCAGAAAGCTCCTTCAAAATGTCCTTCAAGAGAGAGACTAAAGTTTTAAAGACTTTGTCAGTGATCATGGGAGTGTTTGTATGTTGTTGGCTACCCTTCTTCATCCTGAACTGCATGGTGCCCTTTTGTGAGCCCAGCACCTCATCCCAGGGAGCAGAGCCATTTTGTATAAGTTCTGCCACTTTTGATGTTTTCGTCTGGTTCGGATGGGCCAATTCTTCCTTGAACCCGATCATTTATGCCTTCAATGCAGATTTCCGCAAGGCATTTTCCACTCTTCTTGGCTGCTATAGACTCTGTCCTTTCTCCATTAATGCGATAGAGACAGTTAGTATCAACCACAACGGGGGCATGGGTTTTTCGAGTCAGCTTGAGCCGAGAGGGTCCAGTCCCAAAGAGTGCAATTTTGTCTATTTGATCCCCCATTCGGTTCTCTGCCCAGAAGAAGAAGACATGATGAAAAAAGGAGAGGAGGGGATATTCACCAAAACCTTGGAACAAATTTCTCCAACCCTATCAGGTATTTTGGATTTTGAGGCTGATGTGTCTTTGGAAAAGATCAATCCAGTCACGCAAAATGGCCAGCATAAAACCTGAGGTGTAAAGTTGACTAATTAAAAAAAATATATATGTGATCATTCAAGAAAGATTTTCAACTTTTTTTTTTGGTCAGTTTTTAACAAGAAGGTGTGCTATTGTGAGAATCAAAGCCATCACATTAAAATCCAGAGCTTAATCAGCTGCGGTTTGAAAAAAGCATAACATTTTAAAAAGTATTCCACCTTTCGTACATTGTATTTAAAGAGTGTTCTATGTTGTTCATCTTGAATGGAAATGAATCAAATATGTAGGTATAGTGTAGCTGCAAAAAAGGAGGGAAAAAAGAGTTTTAAGTGGATACATGTTTGCAGAAACAGACCTGGGGAAATAAATTATACTTCTCTGTGTGAATAAAATGTTATAGGTTTATATGAGATTCCCATTTGACTAGCATAGTCATTTGTGGGTGTTTATACATTGCAAGAAAAATTTGATAACTTGTCAGATTAGGTGGATGCCTTTCAAAACAATGTTGAACATCAATACAGCCTTATAATAAGAATGGGATATTTTTAATAGTAGGAAGATTATGTGTCAATATTGGCTTTATTTATTATTTAAATGGGTATTTTTTCATATGTTTAAACAAACATGACTTATTCTTATTTTAATATATGTTGAAAAAAATAGATATTTGTATGTATGGTGTTATTCATTGCATTTTTTATCTGTTTACTAGTCAGCACTTTATTCAGAAGCAAAAAGGGAGAATTTACAAAATTAGCTTCATCTAGCTAACTCTGGAACTTGTAGGTGTTCCAAACGCAGCAAAGGGGATAAATCTCCAGGACGTTTTGCTCCGCAAAAAGAGAGAGGTGTTTTGTGGGTTCTTTCTGAATCAGAAGATCAGAATCACTTGAATGATAAGTTATACAAACTATGATCTTCTAGAAACAAAAATCATAGCTGTAGTTTAATTTTCAAGTTTCAGTCTATGTTGACTTTGTTTGAATGTCAGCATGTGAAACTAAATACTGTAGCATTCTGGTCTAAGAGGAATACCGATGAAAAATGAACACAAATTCAAAGATATGATGATCTAAAAAAATAAAACCTCACCTATATTTAATATTTTGAACTAATCCTCTTAGATTTCTCTTACTTCAATATTTTTTTGAGGGGGGAATAATTAACCTCTTTTACAATTGGAGAGTAGATCTATCCACAAATATTCTGAGTGATAGTTAAACAGAGTTTTAAATTGTGCAGGCATATGCTTCGAAATGTCAGCTAAAAGGAGGGTCAACTTCCAAGAGGCCTCTGTCCTGCCACTGTGAGGGTGCAGTGCTGCTTTGTCGATTCCAGCAAACTATTCTGTGCTCTTATGAAATTGGTACCAAAAACAGCTTGTTTTAATTTTTACTTTTGTTCACTGCCTCTTGCATAGAAAATAGTGCCTCGTTCTGGTTTTGGATTCTCACAGAATGAAAGGAACAACAAAACTCTTCCTCAAGGTTCCTGCAAGTTCCTAGAGTGCCCAAAATTTATTTTCCTTTTGTTCTCTTGGAACCAAAATTCATCCTACCTTCCCTTAATCATATTAAATAAATAAAAAAATGAATGTTAAAGCTACGAAAGTAACATACAAACAGGATGGGGATGATGATTGAATGACAGCAAAACTTCCTCAGATTTTGGAAGAAAATGCAACATTCATTGAGAAATGTAGTCAGAAAAGGAGAAACAGAAGAGATAAATTAGGTCTACAAAAATATACTTCCTAAATCAGGTCTGTGTTACTCAAGTATTGTGAATGTTTTCATAATTCTATTGCCTGTAAGCTGCTTTCATACATATAATAAAATTATTTTGTGAACATAAAGTCAAATAAAGCAATTTACATTATATTTATTAAATAAAACTTGCTTTTTTATTGCCATGTTGTTTTAACTAATCAGCAATTTCCTCCCATTTTCTTTCTTGTTTGTTTTAGAACCTCTTGTGACATTTAATTAATGTCTGGTGAACATCAACTAAGAACTGTCTCATGCAGGTTCTTTTAGATATTTTTACATTTGTATTGGGACAGAGTTGATTTCTGTGCTCGTAAGAATTGAGCAGAAAGATAGAATTCTCTAAATACAGAATGCCCTTTTTGCATGCAAAGGTTTGATTGTCTGCATCTTCTGATAAACCTGAAAAAAGTGTTTGGAGAGTTACTGCCGCCAACACACACAGTACTGGGAAAGAGGAGCAGTGATATATGCAAAAGCTGTTGATGTAATGTAAAAGCATCTTGATGTAATGTAAAAACAAATGCTTGTAGCATTTTTAAAAAAACAGTAACAAAACTGAAATACTTTTTTTTTATCATAGAAGATTTAAACATCTTTATGTCAATGGCCCCTAGCAACTAAATCTTGCCCCTGTTTTCAAAAGAGAGACACTACTTCATCCCTTCATGTGGATGGGGCTTTCTGATAAATCAGAGGTAAACAGATGATTAGGCATGGTATATTTCCTCAGGGAATCGGATTTCAAATTCATGGCTTTGGTGTTAGGTTTTTGAAATCTGCAATAGTAAAACATGATAGAAGAGAACTGGTGCTCTATTTCAGTCGTCCCAATCACTGAACAGATCTGTGCTGACATTTGAAGCAGGACTAACCTTCTGCCAAACTTCTTCTTGCTGAATTCTCAGTATTATTGCATGAATGCATAAATGTGTCCTCATCTCTCTATACATGTTTGCATATGTGTGTGTTTGTGTGTGTATGTGTTACGAATATGTGTGTAAGTATGTATACATTATAATAGGATCAGATCTTCTAGAACAGTGGTGGTGAACCTATGGCACGAGTGCCAGAGGCGGCATCGGAGCCCTCTCTATGGACACACGTGCCATTGCCCCAGCCTTGTCTCCTCCTGTGACCCCCTCCTCACCAGCAGCCCCCCTGGAGGAGAGTCGTCCCTGAGCGTGGCCCACACAGAGCAGTGCAGCCAAGGACATGGCAGCCAGGCAGCGTAGACAAGACTGCCCTCACACCCCATTGCGCACAGTTGATGCTGTGGGGCGCGGGCAGAGGGCACGGTCGCAATGGTACTGCTGGGCTACCTGGGCGATCTGTGGTGGGCCCTGGAGGTGGTGAGTGGCCCTGCAGGCAGGCGGGGTGGGGGCGAGGCAGGGGGCGGAGTGGGGATGGGGCCAATTTTTGGGCACTCAGTCTCTAAAAGGTTTGCCATCACTGATCTAGAACATCCGGGAACTTGTGGTCTTATGAAATTTGTTCTTCAAGACGTACCCAATGAGTGCCAAACTGGATAGCTTTTTAGGAAAGTAGACAATTTTTTTAGAGAATGGTATAGTTATGGATATTCATTATAAATGGCTACTTGTGAATATGGGCTGCTGGAAACAATAGTGTGTTTGGGGGTGCTTGTAGGTTTTTGCAAATGTCAGTTGATTATCAGGCAGACCTGGGCTAAATCATTTGGCTGCAGTGCTACAGTAGATCAGACATTTTGCCATTCTTAAGTTCTTCTGTGCTTTGAGTCTACTCTTAATGTCAAAACAACTTATATATTCTTTCTGAACATGTAACCTCCTGCATGTATCTTACTGGAACCTGTATATATATGGATATGGATGACGAATGAGACTTCGTCGAAACGTCGCCAAGACACTTCCAATTTTACGTGGGAGAAAACCCGAATAACCAAGACATATATATATAAAACCAAGACATATATATATATATATATATATATATATATATATATATATATGTATATGTATATGTATATGTATATGTATATGTATATGTATATGTATATGTGTATGTGTATGTGTATATGTATATGTATATGTATATGTATATATGTATATATGTATATATGTATATATGTATATATGTATATATGTATATGTATATGTACATTACATTTACCTCTTAATTTTCTCGAGTTGCATAGTTCTGAAAAACACCTGGGGGTTGCATAGTTCTGAAAAACACCTTGTTATATGGGTCTCCTGACTTCATACCACAATGTTCATTGCTTTCTGCAGTCCTATATAGTCTGATTGTCTGAAATGGAGGGCTGAACATATAGACTGAACATATAGACTTCTGATCATCAGACTGAAAGAGTTTCAAGCCTCTGTTTCTTGCTCTCTGTTCATTTCTTTCTCTCCCCATGATACTAAATTATTACTGTGGAAATTCTGCTGAGTTATTTAAATAGTCCTGCTTGCTATTCATGCACCATAAAATAAAATAGCACAGATAACGCCTATTTGATGTAACTTTGAGCTTTTTCCAATTGGGGGCATGTATTTTGTTCACTCTCTTATATCCCAGTTCCCAATGTGTAGCTTTAATTTGGTTTAATATCTGTTTTCACTCCAGTACATGCCTCAAGACAAATAACTGAACCACATCTGAAGTTTGAAACCAGTATTTACAGATATTTAATTCTTCTTGTATTATCAATCAGGTTTACATAGTATCATCTCAGAATACTGCATCCAGAGGGATGAAGGTTGTCCAAGCTGCCAGATGTACATAAAGCATACAATCAATATTCAAACAGTATGCAATGTTAGACAGAGATAATGTTATGCGTGAACATCTAAATTAAGGAGCAGCTTACCAAAATCAAAATCCAAAGTCCTGCCTGGTAGAGCGTTAGTCGTAGAATGGCTAACCAGATGCTACTGGGAAGCTCCAAGCTGTGCATTAGGGAAGAGCTTTGTCATGAAGATGAAGCCCTGCCAGCAATTAATACTCTGAGGCTTGGCATCTCGGTCCCAGGAGGCAGCAGAGTGTATTTATGCTGGTAGCCATTGACAGTCTTATTCTTCATCAGTTGGTCTCATCCCTCTTCAAGCTGGTGGCCATCTAGACATATTTGTTTAGCTCATCCCTTTCTTGGATGAGCCTATTATGAAAAAGGGAGAAAAAAGAGCATTCCCTGATTTAATTCTTTTCAAAACAGACAAACTTATACATGTTTCTCTCTCATTTATCTCAATCCCATTTCTCTTTAGTTAAGTTTCTTTCAAGGACTTCCCCCCCCCCCAAAGGTTTGTCAAATGCTTAGAGCTTGGAGTGACACTTTCCATTGATTCAGCATCCTGGCTTTTCACTTGTTTGGGCAGGGCTTTTATTGCAAAATAATCTAAAAAATAAACTGTGCTATTTCAATTATTCCCAACGTTTCTCAGTGACATTTTCTCAAACTGTGATTTCCCCTTTTTTTTTTTCTAGGCAAAGTACCCCAGTGTGAAATACATCCTATAAAAATAACATTAGCCTGCTTATATACCTTCTTCCTAATAATTTTAGCATTTTAGAAAGAAAAAAATGCCTCAAATATCTGTTTTCAGAGCTTCATCCATTTATCTGTTTCTTCTTTGTCATTTTAATATCTTCTCTGGCAATGCTGCTAAAGTTATTAAGGGTTTATGTGATCTGAGTTGTTGTAGGCAGTGGTTTAGCTTTTTGTGAAATCTTATACTGTAGGCAAATAAGGGATATAAGAGATAAACAGATTAAAAAATAGGGTAGTTTGTTAAAGTTTTTACTCCAAAGAGCTCCAAAAAAAAAAAATAGAGAAAAAGAAGTAGAGTACACGGTTTTCTTCTTCTCAATTCATTCTCAGAACAAGCCTGAGGTATTTCAGGTGAGAGAAATTAATTTGCACATAACCATCACCATCCTTTGGGACAGGATGCAGGGTTGATCCTGGGTCTCTCCAGCACTAAACAAACAAACATAAAAAAGAAACATTATTTTCCTAGCTTCTCAGCAGTCTTACAAATTAATGGAGATGCATGGACAGCAACAAAAAGGGTAGAGCCAGGATTTTTGGAACCATTTTCTTCAGATGTTTTAAAGGTTTTATGCTTGGAGATTGGAGATTTGGGAGTCAGCAAAACTGATGCATTAAACCTCTCAAGTCTTCTAATGCACCTATCTTTGTCCTTTTTTTTTGCAGCTCAAACAAAATCATTCCAGAATTATTTAGTGGTTTGTCATCAAATTTCAGTTGCACAGTCTTGAGGGCAGGGTGTCAAAGTCTGAAAACTATGTCTCTGTAATGTGTGTTGGTGAAGAGTAAGACAGAGAATTGTGTGCATTCCTCTGAGTAGTATCCCCATATAATTGCGTACAGTGATGGGTAAGAAAAAATGGTATATAAAATATAGAATCTAAAAGCACTTTTACATGAATGTTTTTATTTATAAATACGTGATCTAAATAAATACACTCATGTATAAGTACTTTTAGATTCTCCAAATATAAAGATTGTGAAATAGATACAGCAGTTTGAATATTTTTCTGGATGTTGATTTACAATCGCAAATAATAAGCATAAAACATGTAGAAAAATGTGTGGAAAAATGCTAGAAAAATATTGATAAAACTATTTACGTTGGAAGAAATATGCAGAGAGATATATGCAAATATTTTTGTAATGCTGTTTTTTGTAAACAGTGAATCTGAATTTTAATACAAATGAATCAGACAGATTTCTCTGTTGGTATGATAAACATCTTTGTTGAGGTTTGCACTTTATCTTTTTTAGGAGGCCCTTTCAAATATTATTTGTGAAAAATGCCTAATCCTTTCAGTTTGATGGACTTTCTTCCTATCAGATCAGCTAAGAGAAAGCTGGGTAGGATTACCTATTTTGATCAGACAAGGTGATTATTTGATGCTTCAGTAGGAATCTACACATTTAACTTTCTGTTCATTACATGTCATATTTCATGGTTCCGACAGATGAAACTCTTCAAAAGAACTTTGAGGCATTGTTTACCTTAAAGAATCTTTTATTCGAGAAGCATAATATCGGTACTACATAGTTGAAGCCAAAAGACTGGATTCCCCTCCCCTTGGCACAAAGTAGCAAAGCACAATTCCCTCCTCCAACTAACAGTCATAAATCACATCCCCAGTTAGCTTGAAACACGGGCTCACTCCACAGCTCTCCAGCCTGCCAAATCATTATCAACTCTAGGCTCAGTAACCTTGAGTTCCCACGCCTTAGTTTTTTGTTGTTATGACTAACTGGACTCTCATCAACATCCCCCCTCCCAGCATCAATCAGCTCTAAAAGCAAAAGAGAAAAATGAATGCATTTCCATCTGTTGTCAAAGCAATAACACCGATGTTAGCAGCATTGACATCATAGGTCATAAGATTACAGTC